GGTTAATTATATATATAAAGTTTGATTACACTAAGTGTTTTTAAATAATTTTCTCCTGTTATCAGATTATGACAAAGCATGTGGTAAATGTCTATCTCACAATTATAATTGGAGTGACAGATTTATTTGAAAATTCTCTGGGTAAGGAATTTGGTCTCAACTCCTGAAAACGGTTACTTCACATTTTGATGTTTGTTCAATTCACTGACCATCATGACCATAGCTTGTACATTTGAATTATATATTATATCTAACACTAACAAGTGTAATAATCAACTTCTAACAAAGCACAAAATATTCCTCAGACTCTTATTTCCAACTGAGGTTCATTATTCCGTGTACATGTATGTCAACATTATAGAACTGTGTCTATCACAACCAATAGTTCAGGAGGTTGACTCATTACTTTTTAGGATAAAGCAGTGTCGGAAGAGATTTGAATCCTTTGGACGCAATTTTGCCCATTCTCTTGGAAGAAATCTTTTCCACTGTATGCTGATGAAACATTTTGATGGACGTTTTATTGCTCACCAAGAACTTCCTTTAAAACCATTTGAGATATATACTGCCCCATGCAGATATGTGAAGTATAAACCACAGGTGGACATTTGTCTCGATGATCCCAGCTATGATGCCAGCATATGTTTAAATATCATTGAAGTGGTGAGTACCTTCCTTTATTATGATGCATTTGTTCAATGAATTTCTCATATAGCTATATCAGTATTTTTATGCCCCTGCCATAGCGGAGGGGGCATTCAGTTTTACCCTTGCTCATCTGTACGTCTGTACGTCCCAAAGTTGGTTTCCGTTCTCTAACTTTAGATTGCCTCAACCAAATGTTATGAAACTTATACCCAATGCTTTATACAACAAAAATACAGATCAAGTTTGAATTTTGGTGGCGTCACTTTTACCGTTCTAGAGTTATGTCCCTTTACAAATGGAAAAATTGCTGAATTTTTCGTTTCTGTTCTCTAACTTAAGTTTGCCTCTACAAAATGCTATGAAACTTATACAAAATGCTTTTTACCACAAAATACAGATCAAGTTTGAATTTTGTGGGTGTAACTTTTATTGTTCTAGAGTAATGCCCCTTTACAAATGGAAAAATTGCTGAATTTTTCATTTCTGTTCTCTAACTTAAGTTTGCCTCAACCAAATGCTATGAAACTTTTACACAATGCTTATTACGACAAAATACAGATCAAGTTGGAATTTTGGTGGTGTCACTTTAACAGTTCTAGAGTTATGCCCCTTTGAAATTGGAAAAATTGCTCAAATAATCAGCTTTCCGCACTTTTTTTTGTCATGCTTGAAGACATTGATTTGATGATTGGTATATAGTTTTATCTTGACAAGTTACAAATCAAGTTCAAATTTTGTCAGGTCTGATGATTTTGTGCAGAGATATGGTCCTTGGAAAATTCACTTAAATAATCAATTTTCCATATTTTTTTTGGTCATACTTGAAGATATTGACCTGATATTTGTTATATAGTTTACACCATGACAAGTTATAGATCAAGTTAGCATTTGTTCTAGTACAATGAATTTTTAACCGGTAGGGGACTATGTATTGCCAGGCAATACTCACAGAATGCTTGTTGTTTCCGTTCTCTATCTTAAGTTAGCCTCAACCAAATGTTATGAAACTTATACACAATGCTTGCTAATTACTACAAAATACAGATCAAGATTGTTTTTTAGGGTGTCACTCTTATTGTTCTAGAGTTATGCCCCTTTACAAATGGAAAAATTTGCTGATTTTTTCGTTTCCGTTCTCTAACTCAAGTTTGCCTCAACCAAATGTTATGAAACTTATACACAATTGTTATTACATGTACTTCAAAACTCAGATTAAGTACAAATTTGGATAGCGTCACTATTACTGTTTTTCAGTTATGTCCCTTTATAACTTTATATGATAGACAAGTGGGGGCATCATCTGTGTCCCATGGACACATTCCCCATTTATATACTTCTGGGACAGCCCTGATATTCTGACACCCCAATTGCAATAGCCCAACACCCCATTGGTCCGACACACCAGTAGTCAGACAAGGCGACAACCCATTCGTCTAACATCAGAATATTTTAAAAAAAAGTATGGAGTAATTATTTTAGATAAGAAATGGAAATAAAAGGTTTGTTGATATTAAAAGGAAGACCATGTCCCTCATTTGGACAGGTGATGCAAGTTATCAAGATATGTTTGTGTATTGGTGTAACAGTAACAGAATTTCATCACCAGGGTAACTCGAAGCACAAAATACTTTGCAAAGAGTTGTCCAATTACATAGATATCTCTTGATACACCTATCTCGAAGATACAGGTTAAAGGGGATGTAGTATGAAAATAAAGGAACCAATGATACTTTGCTGTTTACATGATTATATGTGTAAATATAGCTTGAGCTTGCTGTTTCAAGTCTAAAATCATTAAACCTTCCCCAGGAGTGTTGCTGTATCCCTTTCTGTGCTTTACAATTTGATAACTTACATGCCTCATCTTGACACCCATTTGTACACATGATCTGTTGAAAGTTTGTAAAATAGCGAATTAGGTGAGTTTGTATTCGTATGTTTGATTGCATTGTACTTATTGTTTTGGGGAAGGTTAATTATCTGGTACATGTAGTAAGACCTGTTATCAGGGGCGTATCCAGCCATTTATAAAAGGGGGGGGGGGGGGTCCCGACATCAGGATAAAGGGGAGATTCCAACTATATGTCCCCATTCAAATGAATTGATCATCAAAAAAAGGGGGGGTTGCAACCCCCGGAACCCATCCCCCCCCCTGGATCTGCCACTGTGTTATGGTCAGGCTTTAAAACTGGGTAGGCAAATGGTCACATTAAATCTGTATCAAAACAGTGTGTAAAATGACCTGCCTAACACCATTACCCATGGTAGTGCTCCTATTGAAGGAGGAAGATACAGAACATACATTCAAAAATAGGGTCTCCATAATTTTTTGAAACAAAGGCAGAGAAACAAATGTACAGTTAAGCTTAAAAAACTATCCCTTACCTTTGTGTTCTAGATGTTCATGCTAAAATGTTGTAATATATCCAATTTTACCTGCGTTATCATCGTTAATTTTTATGCCCCCGCTGTAGCAGAGGGGGGCATTCAGTTTTACCCTTGTCCGTCTGTACGTCCGTCCGTCCTTATGTCCCAAAATTGGTTTCTGTTCTCTAACTTTAGTTTGCCTTAACAAAATTTTATGAAACTTATACGCAATGCTTATAACCACAAAACACAGATTAAGTTTGAATTTTGGTGGCGTCACTTTTACCGTTCTGGAGTTCTACCCCTTTACAAATGGAAAAAATGCTGATTTTTTCATTTCCGTTCTCTTACTTTAGTTTGCCTCAACCAATTGTTATGAAACTTATACACAATGCTTATTACCACAAATTACAGATCAAGTTTGAATTTTGGTGGTTTCACTTATACCGTTCTTGAGTTATGCTCCTTTACAAATGGAAAAATTGCCGAATTTTTCGTTTCTGTTCTCTAATGTAAGTTTGCCTCAACTAAATGTTGTGAAACTTATAAAAACTCTTATAACCACAAAGCTCAGATCAAGTAAAAAATTGGGTTGCCTTGGGTCACTTTTACAGTTCTTGAGTTATATCCCTTTATAAGGTTATATGCAAACGGGGGCGCTCTCTCAACATGCTCAGGTCCGATTTTTATCAAACTTACATGTATATCAGAGGTTCATATCAGCAATGTCTCAGACAAGTCCCAAAATCATTACTAATATCAAGTTGCATGTGCCCTTAGAAATATTATTTATTTGGAAAATTGTATTGAACACACTCTTACATGTCTATAATTTTTGCTTGATTTTTATTTCTGACAATGATTATATCCGCCTTGGATGGGTTTCGATAATCAGTTCCAATCAACTTTTTTTAATAGAGTTATGCCCCTTGGAAATATAATTTCTATAGAAAATTGCATTATAATAATAAAGTTGAGAATGGAAATGGGGAATGTGTCAAAGAGACAACAACCCGACCAAAGAGCAGAAAACAGCCGAACAAGTGTTTAAACACTCTCAAGTGTACACAGTTCTTGCCAGATATTTATGAATTTATAATTATATCAACATGATCCAAGCTTTATATCAGCAATGTTGGAAAATCAGTGGTGATCAACTGTTATAAAAGAGTTATGCCCTTGGAAATATTAATTATAAAGAAAATTGCATTGCTAAAGCTCTGAAGCTTTCATTCTTGTAGGATTGTTATGAAATTTAATAATAGGTTTATAGCAGCAACGTCATAATTGAGTTTCAAAATCAGTGCTGAAATTTTTTTTTTTAAAGGAGTAATGTTTCTTTGAAATGTAATTCATAAGCACTCTCACACCTACATTTCATGTCAAATTTTTATGACGTTTATATCAGTAAGGCCTTGGAAGAGTGCCGACATACGTTTTTACAGGAGTTATTCACCTTGAAATAGAAATATATGGAAAATAACATTGTTAGTGATCTCATGCTTACATTTCTTATAAGACATGTAAGATATTAAAAAGTTTAAAGAAAATTCTTTTTTTTTGTCAATGCCTTATATTTGAGTAGTTCAATTGGAAGCACATTCTGGATATGAACCTGACTGTATCTCTGCTTGCCATTATTAGTAAAGGATCAGGATTTTTTTTATACATAAAAGTTATTTTTTAATTTTTTTTACCGATCTAAAAAAAACTAATGAGCCACAGAACTGGCTCATTACATATAGACAGGCAATTGGTCAAGAACAGATAAATTAATGTCAGACTGGCATTTTGCATAAACTGTAATGTCATGCCTATTTCAATAGAAATATATGTCAATTTCATAAGACAGCGTCTACATTCGTAATAAAAATTAACACAAAAATGATACCCCACTTAAAAAAATTACACTTTTTAATAAAGTAATTTTGATTGTTTGTTTTTGATGAGCCATAATTTCTTCCTCATCATTTTGCAGTGTTCGAAACCTGACCTTGAAGATAGCATACATCAAACAATGTTTTATACATTGAGTGGTGGAAGATCAACAACTCATTGCTATGTTATTAAGGTAGCTTCGAGAGGAGTATTTCAGGTAAGTAAGGTTGTCCTAAAGTTTTAATACATTTTAGTGTAATTCAGAAGACACCAGGCCAGCGCTTCTAAAGTGATTTCCATTTATTAAAACTGTAAAACATCCAAAATAGGGATGCAGTCAGCATTAGAAGAGGGAAGTCTGTGCTATAACCAAATTTAGCATAAACAGAGAGTTACAAACATAGAGAAAACAGTCAATTTTATATTCATTTTCTTCTAGCATGTCTAGCATCACTTTAAACCAGATATATATATAGAGTTTAAATCATGATTTGATATTTCAAGATTTTTATATTAACAAATATTTGGTTTTGGGAAAAGACAGCTTCAATCCGTCTTATGAACTATACGGTTGACCAGAAGCTCATTTCTCAAGTCAACCATTTTGTGCTTTATAGTTTGAAACAACTCAAATTGTTTTACCAATTTGATGTGAAGGAGATTAAGAAATAGACAGATTGATTTTAAACTAGTTTCCCTTAGGATTCTCATGAAATTATTGCATTTAGATCTCTCCCTTTTTAAGCTCACCTGGCCTGAAGGGCCTGTGTTAGCTTTTGCCATCACTTGGCTAAAAGTAGATCACATGGGTACATAGCCTGCATCAAAATCTTTTCCAACAACTAGTCTGAAGACAAAATACAGATATTTTCCTTATCTGCCTAAAAAATTTACTAGCCAGAATTAAATTTTACTGGCATCAGACTAGTGGCTAATGGTGCAGGCTGGTACAATCTTTATAATTGAAAATGTTCTACATGATAAAGCACATCAAATGAAATAAAGAGTTCGTCCCCAGGGGTCACCCCTACCCCTGCAATGTGACAAAGTTCTAATATCTTGTAAATGGTCAAGATCCCCACTCCTAAACCATATATATTCTGGTTTGTCATGATAAAGCACATCAAATGAAATAAAGGGTAAGTCCCTAGGGGTCACCCCCACCCCCTACCATTTGAGAAAGTTCTAATATCTTGTAAATGGTCGAGATCCCCACCCCTAAACCATTTAATATTCTTGTTTGTCATGATACAGTCCATCAAATGAAATAAAGGGTTCGTCCCAAGGGGTCACCCCCCACCCCCTGCCATGTGACAAAGTTCTAATATCTTGTAAGTGGTCAAGATCCCCACCCCTAAACCATATATATTCTGGTTTGTCATGATAAAGCACATCAAATGAAATATAGGGTTCGTCCCCAGGGGTCACCCCCACCCCCTGCCATTTGACAAAGTTCTAATATTTTGTAAGTGGTCAAGATTCCAACCCCTAAACCTTATATTATCTGGTTTGTCATGATAAAACACATCAAATGAAATAAAGGGTAAGTCCCCAGGGGTCACCCCCACCCCCTGCCATTTGAGAAAGTTCTAATATCTTGTAAGTTGTTGCGATCCCCACCCCTAAACCATATATATTCTTGTTTGTCATGATACAGTCCATCAAATGAAAAAAAGGATTAGTCCCTAGGGGTCACCCAAACCCCTGCAATTTGAGAAAGTTCTAATATCTTCTAAATGGTCGAGATCCCCACCCCTAAACCATATAGATTCCGGTTAGTCATGATACTGCACATTAAATGAAGTAAAGAATTAGTCCCCAGGGGTCACCCCTGCCATTTGAGAAAGTTTTAATATCTTGTAAATGGTTGAGATCTCCTCCCCTAAACCATATATATTCCTGTTTGTCATGTCACAAAGATTCAAATAATATATAGGGTCAGTCCCCAGAGGTCCCCCTACCCCCAAATGTTCTCATATCTTGTAAATGGTCGAGATCCCCACCCCTAAACCATATATATTCTTATTCATCATGTCAAGAAGATTTGAATGATATGTAGGGTCAGTCCCTAGGGATCACCCCCACCCCTGCCATTTGATTAAGTTCTAATAATTTGCAAATGGTTGAGATCCCCACCCCTAAACCATATATATTCCTGTTCGTCATGTCACAAAGATTCGAAAGATATTTAGGGTCAGTCCCCCAGGGGTCCCCCCACCCCCAATGATCTAATATCTTGTAAATGGTCGAGATTCCAACCCGTAAACCATATATATTCTGGTTTGTTATGCCAAGATGATTAGAATGATATACAGGGTCGGTCCCGAGGCATCACTAATGCATATAACTTTACTGGACCAAACTAATTTTCACTGGACTTTGCCCAATTTCAGGCGACCCTGGGAATGACGAATTATGGGAGCTTCGTTTGGGAGACTTCGCAACAGCATTCTGTTACAATCATTTCTTGTGATATTTGGTATGCAGTTGTATAATCATTGGCACATCTAATAATTACGGAGATTATTTGTCCCTGTCCCCTCTGTCATGGTCTATTGACTATGAAACTTTTACTTAGTTAATGTGTATTAGTTTGTGATTAGGTCAGTTTATGGGGAACCACTAGTGGTAGGTTAATGATATTTGGTATGCATTTCCAAGGACACTATTTGCATTTATCTATCAAAATAACAAAAAGGCAAGACATACCACTGTGATAACAGTTCATTAGTATGAATCACATAAATTATGATTTGAAAAAGATTCAAGTATCTAAGCTCAGTACAGTATAGATCATAGTTTGTCTAGCTTTTTTCTAAATATTATATTTTTACGGATATTTTCTGTTGTTACAGGTGTATGTTGGACAGATAGATTGGCCAGTTGAAATGCATCAAATGATGATGATTTGTGGAAGTAATATTACAAGGGAGCTAGGATTTAATCACCAAAATCACTCTAAACCTATAACAGCAAAGTATGCTCACCTTGGAGATATTTCCCTTTCTGATGATGATTGTCCTGTTGTATCATTATTTCTGAAAACTGTTGAGATTTTATCTAAATCAGAAAGACACACCTTTCTTCCTATCACTGATGATATGATTGAAATTATTGAGATGAGGAAGAGTACCCGGAAACATATTTCAGGTTGTGTATTTGATGATTTAAATATCTGTAATGAAAAATTTGACCAGTGTTCTTCAAGAGAAGATACCCCAGAAGATGATTCAACAGATTAGTTGAAACATATAGGTACAAATGTATAACAAAGTATCATTTAACCTCCATATTGAAAATATAAACCTTTTATAAATCCATTTTTTCATTTTGGGTTATACACGGTTGGGGTAATGGTGGATGGCTCCATGATCATGATGATATTCTGTGCAATAACTTATGAATCATTTAAACCTTTGAAAATTTGATATGTTGTTACTACAGATGTCAAAATGGAGATCAAGTTTGATATTGACTATTTTCATAAACAACCCAAAATAAAAATAATCTTGTTCCTGTTGGAAAACTCCACTTCTCTGCAAATGGATTGATTTAGGGTTGAATGAGCAAGCAGCTTCTGTTGTTTCAATATTATAACTTATGAACCGTGAAATCAAGGCTTTTAAAACTTATTTGTTGCAACTGATGACCAAATAGAGGTCAAATTTCATATTGATGAGTTTAACTCTTGAACTTCAGGAATTATTGTCCTTGATTGACAAAGATTTGATGGAAAATGTGGCATTTGTGTCATTTCCATGCAATAACTTATTTACCATTTATCAGACCAATTCTTTTCAAATTTAAAATTTTGTTACTGATGCTGAAAGTGAATTTAATTATCACACCTCTAATTAAGTACCACAATGGTTACCTTCACAATACAGGCCTTGCTGTCAACAAAATTTCGAGTACCATTATTGTACTCAGACTCGAAATTTAACCAGTCAAAATACTGGATTTGGTGTTTCAAGCATAAACTTTGTACTCCAAATACTAAGTAACATTTTATGACCAAGAGCCATGAAAACAGTCAATTCAACAGCCTATTTCTTGATCAGTTATAAATCCAACATTTGAGGCCATGGACATATCAATGGTTTATTTGACAGTTGAATTGACAAAACCTAAATACTATTGTTTCTTAGTAATTTTTGTCAGACAAATATTTATGGGTCCCAACAATCTAATAAACTTATCTAGGTGTAAAGCTTCAAACATGTGTCAAAGTGGGAAATCTATTCTGACAATAATGTTTTATTAAGGAGATTTTGAACAAGGTATTATTTGAGTCTAGAATAGTTTTGAGTTCTAGAAAAATTGATGATGACAAATGTAATCTTGTCCAGGATACAGAAACAAAAACAAGAGATACTTAAAGGAGTCAGTCACTAAGCCAGAAATGATAACTCTTAGCCAGGAGACAGGCATAACCTGAAATGTATTTTCCTAATCAGCAGACAGGCATATAGCCATTAATGTCTTTTCCTAATCAGCAGATAGGCACATATTCCTAATCAGCCCACAGGCACATAGCCAGAAATGACTGTTCCTAATCAGTAGACAGGCACATAGCCAGAAATGACTGTTCCTAATCAGCCCACTGGCACATAACCAGAAATGACTGTTCCTAGTCAGTAGACAGGCACATAGCCAGAAATGACTGTTCCTAATCAGCAGACAGACACATAGCCAGAAATGACTGTTTCTAATCAGTAGACAGGCACATAGCCAGAAATGACTGTTCCTAATCAGCAAACAGGCACATAGCCACAAATGTTTTTCCTAATCAGCAGACAGGAACATAGCCATAAATGTCTTTTTCTAATCAGCAGACAGGCACAAAGCCAGAAATGTCTTTTCCTAATCAGCAGACAGGCACATTTTCCTAATCAGCCGACAGGCATATAGCCAGAAATGTCTTTCCCTAATCAGCAGACAGGCACATAGCCATAAATGTCTTTTCCTAATCAGCAGACAGGCACATAGACATAAATGTCTTTTCATAATCAACAGACAGGCACATAGCCATAAATGTCTTTTCATAATCATCAGACAGGCACATAGCCATTAATGTCTTTTCCTAATCAACAGACAGGCACATAGCCAGAAATGTCTTTTCCCAATCAACAGACAGGCCTAAGTCAGAAATGTCTTTTCCTAATCTGCAAACAGGCACATAGCCATAAATGTCTTTTCATCATCAACAGACAGGCATAAAGCCATAAATGTCTTTTCCTAATCAACAGACATGCATAAAGCCATAAATGTCTCCCAATGAATAAATTAAACTTTCTTTTTGGAGACTTATCCAAGATATTCCCCAACAACCCATACAACATGATTTTTCTTTATATTAAACAATATGTGTATAGTTCTAGACGCTTTAAAAAGAATCTCTCATTGCAAGCAGCTATAATAAAGCTGAAAGATATGTATAAATTAGAGAGTATGATAGCTGTAAAAAATAAAAAGATAACTGAATTTGACAATGCATGGAATGTTTTTGAAAAACTTTTATTGAATACCAGCTAATGTCTATTTTTGTTACAATAAATTATGACTTTTAAATTATAATCTATTTTAAAGAAAATATTATTGTCATGTTATGTACTTGATCTGTGTTGATTGCAGTTATGAAAGAAATATGTCTAGTTAATTTTGCTAATATTTTTCAACATAAATATTTGATATTTAAAATATAGATAGGGATGTAACTGGATAATCCTTTTGTTTTTTTATTTATTTTTTTCCCTTCTTCTTTACCCCCCACTCCAATCTGTTAATTATCATTATTTATTTATTTATTTATTAATTTTTATTTTTTTTTTTTTTTTTTTTTTTTTATCTTTTCAATAGAAAATGTAAAATATTTCCAATTAAGATGTATTTATAATAATGACATTGTATATATCTTATTGTTTTATATTGTATGTATGTCATGTATATGTTGTTGGAAATAAAAAAATCAAAAGTTAAAAAAAAAAAAATGTCTTTTCCTAATCAACAGACAGGCATATAGCCATAAATGTCTTTTCCTTATCAGCAGACAGGCACATAGTCAGAAATGCTTACTCTTGCTGATAGATACAAAACATAGTACACTTTAAATAAAGGTCTCTTAAAATATTTGGAAGGTTGAAAGTATAATTAATACGAGTGAAGGATAAAATATAATACTCCTGTAATAAAAAAATTTATTGCATTGACATTCATGAAAGTTTTTGTGGACTATTAAAGGTATTACCAAGTTTATTCCTTGTCATCATTAAATATAGGAAAGAATATTATTTTGTTGTGGCCCTTTATGATATAAAAGTCAAAAACAAAGTATATCATAATTTATATCAAAGTAAAATTCTGGACTATTAAGTAAAACAAAAATCTCAGGTAAAATAGTTTGTGGTATTTCATAGGAATTGAAGTGCCCAGTTTTTTGCATTTGATATTTTGAAAAAAATCAAAATTACTTAATTTAATGTAAACAAAATGCAAGTTCAATGACATTTTTAAGAGAATTATGCTGATCGGATAGACATAGAACATATTGGATGTTGCTGTTTTCATATATAATTTTATACTCTTATGTAGTTTTTAAAATGTCACTTCTTACAAGTTTTATATTAATGTTAGTTCTGTTTAAGACAGAAACATCTCTCTCTGTGAAAATTGTATATACATATATATTATATTTATGATATTTTTTTACATAGTTCTCAGCATTATACCATGAACATATACACTTGATGCATGTAATTGAAGTTATCATTTATAATTATAAGTTGACTAAAAATGTATATTGGCTTAAATATTATACGATTTTTATACACCCATTAATTTTCTTCATTTCATATATTTGCTCAAGCACTTTACCGATTTTAAGCATATTATAAAATGGCATTGTATAAAAATGTTATTGTTATATTTTTATGATTGTTGAATTTTTGTTTCATTAATTTACAAAATAATCATACTATAACATGTATAATGAATTATGATTTGTAACCTTTTGATTTGCCACTGATCAGTTTTACCATATTGAAGTTGTATAATATAGTTTATGTTTTGCTTGTCACAATGTGCACATATAGAATATTTGTAATTCATTAGTATATTACTTATTTCAATAGAATTTGTCTCAAAAAAGAACTTTATACACAATGAATTAGGTGTCTGATTTTTTATAACTGTAAATACAATTATTGCATGTGTTGCAATGTAATACCTTGATTTCCTAGTGAAATAAAAATGTATCCTAAGTCATAAATCCTGTAATTTCACTCCTTTGGCATTATACTTTCATTGTTTTGAGAAATTGGTGTTGAGAACAGATAGTTGATTTTCTGATACATAACAGAAATAAATTTAGTATACTGTATTATATGTCTCTGCTACGAGTTATGTGATGTAGTAGAGACTCTAGAAGTCATTTATGTACCTCAATATTTTCTAACCAGCTGTGAACTGTATTTCAGGGAAAGAATCCATTTATTTGCTGTTTTGTGCCCTTTTGGTTGCTAATTTGCTTTTTCCACCTTTTATGGAAGTGTTATAGAATGACAAGAAGGCATTCGACATGCAGCAAAGACTTTGCAGGTCTATAATGTTCTGGTTAGGCCTATATGTGGCCTACTAGAGTACCTAAGAACGAAAGTTCAGGGTGCAGTATGCAAAATATTGGATTATGTCCGCCAGTTCTTGGGTAGGCTCTTGTTGTTTGTCTTTTGTGGATAACAGACATACAGATAAGACTTACTGTGGGTTATGTTACGTAGCAGAGGCCCTATCAGTCATTGTCAAGCCTGCAACATTTATGTCTCAAAAGCGAGACAGACATATATTGATTAATATTTTAGTACTTTACTTCTTGAACTGAAGCTAACTTTCAAGATCAACAAATAGCATCTAAAGAAAAAGATTGATTTTTTTGTTCTGCCTGCGATGAAAGTCACAGAAGGCGAAACTTAAGGGGATTACAATTAGGCTGCGGTGGTGGTGATTATGTAAACTGTTTGTAGTAAGTCCGTATCTCAGATACTATAAGCTATAGATCAACTATATTTGGTGTTTAGAATGATTGTAAGGTGTACTTGTCCGACTGGCATGTTTCCTCTGACCTTGATATCACTATCATGTTCAGTCATTGATCATTGTTTTGTTTTTGTGGTTTGGTCTATTTCTGGGATCCTATAAGTTACAGGTCAATTATATTTCGTGTATGGAATGATTGCATGCAAGCTGTACATATAAAAATAAAAAGATGTGGTATGATTGCCAATGAAACAACTCTCCACCAGAGACCAAATGACATGAAAAATGTAAAACAATTCAAACGATAAAACCAGCGGCGTAGCTAGGCAATTTTTGAGTGTATGCCCGAACCTCGGCGAGGTGCCTGGTGACCGCAACAGTCCACAGCGGGTCCATGACAGAGCCCTTTTATGGGTTCCAGAGGCCAAAGCCGCAAGAAGCTTACACGTTAAAAAGAAAGATATACCATGTCTGTCTTAAAAACTCATCAATAGCAACATACCTTGGAGACATATTTTTTTATCTTTAATTTATTCACTGTGTTGATTCGGAATCTAATGGTCAATGGTTTTAGAGAGAACTGTTCAACCAGCTACTGTAAAACATGTTTTCCTAGATCTAGATATTTCAGTTTTCATGGGAATTTCTGCACAAAAATTACACATAAAAGGACGGATTCACTGTTTTTAATTTCCCTTTTTGGACAGTGATCTTCCTTTGGCACCATCAAACGGTGTTTATATATCCCAACGCGTTTGCTATGCCCGAGTCTTAAGTGATGTTTTGGATTTCAATGAATGTAATCTATGGACTACAGTAAATTATTAAGTCAAGGATTTCGTTACCACAAATTACTTAAAACCTTCACTAAATTCTTTCATAGATACAAAGACTGGGTTGAAGTTTGGCTGTATCTGCGGAAAACTTATTACAAATGTGATACCTCCTAGGTAAGCAGAGGTAAACATAGTCAATATGTGTCCAAGGTGACCAGAAGTAAACATAGTCAAGAGATTTCCAAGATGACCGGAGGTAACCAAAGTACATATAGATGTAAGGTGACCAGGGTTACCAACGTACGTCAATATGAGTGTAAAGTGATTAGAAGTAACAAAAATATTTATTAGGAAATCAGAGGTAAACAAAATAAACATATTTGTTAATAAGGTTGCTAGACAAAACCGACGTTTATATCTGTGTAAGGTGACCAGAGGAAATTTTAGTCGATATCTGTGTAAGATGACCCAAGGCAACTAACATCAATATATGTGTTTGGTGACCAGAAGTAACCAAAGTGAATGATTGTGTTATGTGAGCATAATTGTAAGGTGACCAGAGGTCAACAAAGTGAATATATGTACAAAGTGACTAGAGGTAACCAAATTAAATGAGTGTGTAATGTGACCAGAGCATCATTGTAACTAGACCAGAGGTAAACATAGTCAATATGTGTCCAAGGTTACCAGAGGTAACCTTAGTCAATATATGAACAGCAGTGTAAGGTGACCAGAGGTACCTTAGTCAATATATGAACAGCGGTGTAAGATGACATGAGGTAACCATAGTCAATATTGGTCCGGGAACAGAGTTATCGTCCCATGATTTTTGTTGTCTACGAATATAGTCCCTAGTGTGGACAGTTTGTTATTTGCTACTTTTTAATACCCTTTCCAAATTTATTTCTTCATGTTTCAAATAACAAGTAGGGGGATGAAACTACACTGTAAACAAATTGGGGTCATGAATTTTAAAGTAAAGTAGTGATTTGGTCCAACTGAAAAAGGTTAAAAACAAGTATCTCTGAAGCTGTCAAAAGAATTCAAGACCCCTTTAACATAAAATTGTCCATATTTTGAGTTTTTTATAACTTTACTATAATTTGTCCCAAAAGTAGTACACCACACTGTAAAAATATTATTGAGAAAGCGAAGGTGGGATTTTTTTTAATTTCCATTTATTTTCTAAAAGAAATGCACTACGAAATAATGTCCTACACCTTATAATGATACACCTATCAGGGTACCTACAGTAAATAATGTGTCATAAACCTATGATTCATATACCAAGGTACCTACAGTAAATAATGTGCCATACACTTATGATACATCTACCAGGGTACATACAGTATATAATGTGTCCTACACCTTCCTATGATACACCCATCAGGGTACTTACATTATATAATGTGTCCTACACCTATGATACACCCATCAGGGTACCTGCAGTATATAATGTGTCCTACACCTATGATACATCCATCACGATACCTACAGTAAATAATGTGCCCTACACCTATGAAACATCTATCAGGGTACCTACAGTATATATTAAATGTGTCCTACACCTATGATACATCTATCAGGGTACCTACAGTATATATTAAATGTGTCCTACACCTATGAAACATCTATCAGGGTACCTACAGTATATATTAAATGTGTCCTACACCTTTGATACATATATATCAGGGTACCTACAGTATATAATGTGTGGTACACCATCCTATGATACATCTGTCAGGGTACCTACAGTATATACTGTGTCCTACATCCTATGATACATCTACAAGGGTACCTATAGTATATAATGTGTCCTACAGCTATGATATATCTACCAGGGCACCTATAATTTATAATGTGTGCTACACCATCCTATGATATATCTACCAGGGTACCTATAATTTATAATGTGTGCTACAACATCCTATAAAACATCTATTAGGATACCTACTGTATATGATGTGACCTACATCTTCTTATGATACATCTACCAGGGTGCCTATAGTATATAATGTGTCCTACAGCTATGATACATCTACCAGGGTACCTATAGTATATAATGTGTCCTACAGCTATGATACATCTACCAGGGTACCTATAATTTATAATGTGTGCTACATCATCCTATAATACATCTATTAAAAGTATCAAAAGTATGTCTAAAATGTATAAATTAAAGATACAAAAGCATTCTATCACCGATTATATAGTACGCCTTGACCATCTGTTGTAGGTGTTGTTTTTTTTTTGGGGGAGGGGGGGGGGGGAGGGGGAGGGGAGATTTAAAAAAATGTTGGTTTCCAGTTAAAAATAGGACGGGATACAACCTTGAGTTTTAAAAACAAACTTTTGTTCTATGTAAATTTTTATTGAAAAAAAATCGTAAGGGGTTCAGCGGAACCCTGTGTCACGCCTGCGATTGTTAGTGTAAAAGTGTAATGTTGACTTAAAAGGTGAGTCCATTTGTCAGTAAAATACTGAATTTAAAAAAAATTAACAACAAATACAATAGGTAGGTCCTGTAATAGAGACCGACCGGGATGAAGGTCGGGAAATTTAGACTGCCACTGGAAAATGAAGGTGTTTTAGATAGGGACAGAAATTGTGCCTTGCAACAGGCCACCTACGGACCCCTCAAAGAGTTGTTAAAAGGGCTCTTTACGTGCAAATAGCGTGGCACTCTCTCTACACGAGGCATCGGATTTAACGTCCCCATTCTGACCGGATGTGTTATCGTTTAAAAGGTCACTCGTAGAAACATAAACATGTTTTTAACTATATATATAATTAACTATACTAATATAGTATTGCCATCCCAACACGGTTTATTGTTAGAGTGTACGAACTTTGATGTAAGGTAGAGGAGGTAACATTTTTTCAATACCGTCTAACAAATAAAATATGCTTAAATATAAAAACTAGAAGGTGTGGTATGATTGCCAATGAGACAACTCTCCACAAGAGACCAAATGACACAGAAATTAACAACTTTAGGTCACCGTACGGCCTACAACAATGAGCAAAACCCATACCGCAGAGTCAGTTATAAAAGGCCCCGAAATGACAAATTTAAAACAATTCAAACGAAAAATTAAAGTTAATTTGATGCATTAGAGGCAGAATTTCTTATTTACCATTACAAATAGACGAAGTAGTACTAAAACAAATCTTGAAGTTACCACCCCATTGACTTTGTAATTGAGTTTTTTAATTTTACTCTTAATTGCAAATTATGAATACAATTTTATGTTTTGCATAGTATGGCGTAAAAACCACCAGCCACACCAGAGACAACTTAAGAAGTACATTTAAGAAACAAGGAATGTTTAACTTGTATCTTCTTATTCATTGACTGCCCGGTCAGTGATCGCATGGTAGTGTGATCGTCTCGAATGCAGGAGGTCGTGGTTTGATCAACGGCCAGGTAAAAAAAAAATTCAAAAATTTGTATTTGCTACTTCCCCTCTAAACACGCGGCTTTTAGGAGTAAGAATAAACTCGTGTCCGCTCGGTCAGAAAACTGTCCGGGTTATAGGTAACATGTCTTCCTGTGGCCTGTTACCTTGTGAACTTGCATGTCAAAAATCCGGCTCAGAATGATGGCCAGTATACAAAGCAGCGTTCATATAAAAATCAACATGCTCTCCTTGTGATGTGCATGTAATATTTGCCACTGGACTTTAAACAAAAATTCATTATCATACTGTTATCAAATGTTGCGATTTTCATTTTTAAAGGCAGTGCTTTAATGCCTTTCTAGTTGCCGGGTTAATCCTTCCTTCCGCGATATCCAACTTATCTACGTGGGGGGTCATTAGACTCCAAGTAGATCCGGAAATGTTGAATTCTCTCCTCTTCTTATTGCGATATAAAATGTTTTTTGTTTCATTTCATTTACATTGGGAAATAGAGAAACGATCATTGTGTTTTGTTAGTTTTAAAAACTTTTGATATATTAGTATTTTGCATTATAAGCAGTCAACCGATTGACAAACTAGAATTATTTGAATTCCGTGTGGAAAGAGCTCTGGTTAATTTCGAGTGTTATCTGCAATCTAGATGTTTATAAATCATTTCAGTCGTTGATATAATAATTAAAGGTCGACCGAACATGAATTATATTATACAATTTAAAGCGCATTTCTGTTTATGCACGTGAACCCGTCTAACGTTATTTTCGCAGTTATATAAAGTAGCAAATTATCGTTCCTGAATAGGTGGCGCCGTGGTAGCGGATCCTGTTCCTCTTCTTCCGGTTTCTGCACTGTGCAACTATTTCAGTTATATTTTTAATTAACGATGCCAAGTACTTGTTGTTGTGTACCTGGATGTCATTTAAGAGGAGGACATGCATTTCCAAATGACTTAAAAAGAAGGAAAAGTTGGATCAACGCCATGGCCCATACGCAGATTGGACGAGAACACGATGATATCGTGGAGTCCATCTCAATCAGCTGTTGTTTGCAAGGCACGTTTTACTGAAAAAGACTACGTGCAGGAAACTATTCATGGTAAAACTCTATTTTCTTTGTGAAATATATAGTCTAGTAAAGAGCTTTGATAAAAGAGCAAAACTATTGTCTTGTCTTAATAATAAACATAAGTAATTGATTTATGCACTGATTTATATGCATTGCAAATTATATATACATATATAGTACATTACAATATTTTTATTTTTTGTGTGTATTTTCCCCAGCTGCAACATATGGAAAAAAGGGTTTACCATTATAAAGATTATATATATATCATTATTATATATTCTAACAATTTGTAATTTGATTTGATATTTATTCTGTCATTCATTGGATTTTCTTTCTTTGTTTGTTATAATCTTTATGCCTCTCGGGGCCCAAAATTGGATAATAAAATTTATCTTATCTTATCTTATCTTATAGTTATATATGTAATCTCCATGCGAATAAACCAAAGTCTGTTTACAACCGCAATTATCGTTTTAGAATAAAAGGTGGTGGGTAATTCAAGACGTCATAATTTTTTGGATTATGATTCAATGTGATCTGTTTGAGATTTTTTGGTGATTGCTACAATTATAATGATTTCTTACAAGAGGTATATCATACTGAGAATTATTTTAGCAGTAATTATGCTAATGTAGTAATGACAGGAATGCATAAGCTATGCCTCATAGACTTTCTTGAAAAATATCAATGACAATGTTAACAGGAACAAAACAATGACATGCTCTCATCTATATTATAGTTATTTAGGTACAAACAATGTACGTTTGTTGCATAAGTCTCTCATTGTTTGTCCTTTGGATTTACATAACATACATTGAATCAGGCAAACATAGTTTTATCCAGATTGTAATGAATAAATCTAGTTAATATTTTGCCAGGTAGTACAAAGTATACATTGCTAATGGAAGTTCATTTAATTATAAAAAATCTAATGTTTTATAACCTTTTTCAGGGCGCAAACCCACCATACAGAGACTTAAGTCTACTGCAATTCCCAGCCTATTTTCCTGGACCAAGCAAGAGACTGAATCGTCCGCAAAAAGAAAAATCAGGGCAGTTTCCTGTGAAAACAAAAGAACTAAACTTGATGAATATTGTAGTAGAAATCTAGAGGAAAGTTTTGATTGTAAAGTTGGTTTTCCTGAAGAAGTCATTCATACTGCAGAAAGGATTTATGACTGTACATGTCCACCAGCAACTGCCGAGCTAATGTTGAGCTTCACAGATGGAATTACGCAAACACCATCAATGCCTATGTTTTCAGCAGAGAATTTTGAAATGAAGACACGTGACACAGCCATGCATTTTTATACCGGTTTAGAGTTGTATACTAAATTTTTATTTGTTTTGACCACACTTGGTCCAGCAGCACATTGTTTGAGATACATATATTTTCAAATTGATAGGGTGTCAGTTGAAAATCAGTTTTTTTATGACTTTGATGAAATTGAGGCATCATACAACCAACTTTGAACTGTCTAGATTCTAGATTGAATCTAGTGTTAAGAATATTGTGTATACATGGATTGTTTTTATGTCTAAACAGTGGTGTGAGGCTAACACTTGGCCATCTAGTGGTTTAGTCAGGTATTTTTCACCATCCAACTTCAAATTAAAGTTTCCTACGACTTGGATTATTATTGACAGCACAGAATATCCCGTGATAAAACCTAAAGCTCCTAGAGCTCAGGCAACCTTTTCATCAAATAAAAACAGAAACACTGAAAATTCTTGAATGTTCGACACCTGGTGGTTTAGTCAACTATATCTCTATGTCACATAGAGCGAATTATTGGACTTGGCAAAACATACAAAATTCTAATAAATCCTATGAATGGAACTGAAACAAAACTTTCATCTGAAATAACATTTAGTTGTTTTATGTTGTGTAATTTTAGAACTTGTATTGTGCCAAAGGATGCATAAATAAAAGTGACGCAATGAATTTTGTTCTGATATATATATATTTACAATTACATGCACATGTAAATTGTAATGCATATAAAAATAAGGAGATGTGGTATGATATTCAGTGAGTTTATCAAACTAAAGTGCATAAGAAATGGGTTTAAGCAGTTACAGGTGTTACTGTCACCGTACAATCTCCAACAATGAGAAAAACTCGTACCCTGTAAAAAATTTCAGAGATCTTACAACTAAGTTTTGTTGTCTCACCTTGACTTTGGTGAATTTTTTATATCTGTTGATGTAAATATAAAAAAGAAGATGTGGTATGATTGCCAATGAGACAACTCTCCACACATGCACAAGAGACCAAATGACACAGAAATTAACAGCTATAGGTCACAGTACGGCCTTCAACAATGAGCAAAGCCCATACCGCACAGTCAGCTCTAAAAGGCCCAGAAATGACAATGTAAAACAATTCAAACAAGAAAACTAACGGCCTATTTTATGTAAAAAAATGAACAAATATAACAAATATGCAACACATAAACAAACGACAACCACTGAATTACACTTTTATAGGCTCCTGACTTGGGACAGGCACATACATGTACATACAGAATGTGGCGGGCTTAAACATGTTAGCGGGATCCCAACCCTCCCCCTAACCTGGGACAGTGGTGTAACAGTACAATATAAGAAAGAACTATAAAAATCAGTTGAAAGAGGCTAAACTCATCAGATGGATAAATACAAATACAAGTGGACGTGGTCGGGTAGTTGTACATCCAAACAACAAAAAGACACTAAGTACAAATCTGAGAGTACTCGCAGTTACTGACAGCTAGTTCAAAGCCACTAACAACTGATAAAAAAATCTTGCATCTAAGACTAAATTATCAATCCGTAAGCTCCCTTTAGAATTTTATAAATTTTAGATTTTACATTTCTGAGTTATGGGGTTTTATTCATTAAAAAAGGGGGGATTTTCCAGGTTTTGGACAACAACTCAAAAATGCTTTAAGCAGTTCACATGAAACTTTGGTGAATTATTTATAGCTATTGATGTAATCTCCCTATTGATTTTCATAAATTTCAAATATGACATTGAGAAGAAATTGAACTTTATTTGTTTATAGTCTGGCAACAGATTTATTAAGTATTGCACAACAGCAAGAAATCTTTAATTGAATATAAATTCAATTCATATAACCGATTTCAAGTTCATTGACTACATTTATTCAGAAACTATAATATGTCAAATATTTAATTACAATCCAAATTCAGACCTGTATCAAGCTTGAATATTGTGTCCATTTTTGCCCCAGCTGTTCAGGGTAGTACCTCTGCGGGTGTATCCAGCTGCGCTCAGCGAATCAGTTTATTTCTTAATTAAGAACTCCTTTTTATACGACTGCAAAAAAATTTTGTGGTCGTATATTGGTATGACGTTGGCGTCGTCGTCGTCCGGCGTCGTCATCCGAAGACACATTAGTTTTCGCACTCTAACTTTAGTTTAAGTGAATGGATCTCAATGAAATTTTAAAATAAGGTTCAATACCACAAAAGGAAAGTGGGGATTGATTTTGGGGGTTATGGTACCAACAGTTAAGGAATTAGGGGCCAAAAATAAGCATTTTTGTAACTTCCAGACATAACTTGTGTGTAAGTGTATGGATCTCACAAGGTTCCATATCACAAAGGGAATGCTGGGATTGATTTTTGGGGGTAATTGCCTCCAAATTTTAGGAATTAGGGGCCAAAAAGGGGCAAAAAACAAGCATTTTTCTAGTTTCATGACAATAACGAGTGTGCAAGTCTATGGATCTCTCTGACATTGTATCACAAGGTTCCATATCACAAAGGGAATGCTGGTATTGAATTTTTGTGGTAATTGCCTCCAAAATTTAGGAATTAGGGGCCAAAAAGGGGCAAAAAACAAGCATTTTTCTAGTTTCATGGCAATAACTTGTGTGTAAGTGTATGGATCTTTATGAAATTGTACTACAAGGTTCCATATCACAAAGGGAAAGCTGGGTTTGAGTTTGGGGGTAATTGCCCTAAACGTTTAGGAATTTGGGACCAAAAAGGGGCAAAAAAACAAGCATTTTTCTAGTTTCCAGACAATAACATGTGTTCAAGTGTATGGATCTCTCTGAAATTGTACTGCAAGGTACCATACCACAAAGGGAAGGCTGGGATTGAGTTTTGGGGTGATGAATCATAAGGAGGTTCAAAAAATTTGGGGGGGGATTCTTTTTCCTTTTTTTTCTTTAAAATTTTCTATTTTAAATTGGTTATTTCTGGTTTATATATAAAAGCAAATAATAATGATATGGTTTGAATAGGTAAATTGAATTTTTTTAAGTATCTTAGACCACTTTCATTCTGTGTCAGAAACCTATGCTGTGTCAAATATTTAATTACAATCCAAATTCAGTGCTGAATCAAGCTTGAATGTTGTGTTCATACTTGCCCCAACTGTTCAGTGTTCGACCTCTGCGGTCGTATCAAGCTGCGCCCCAGCGGAGCATTTTATTTCATTCATAAATTACTTTATGCTTGGAAATATAATTTTGCTTTGAGTTGAAAGAGTTGACATGTTGCAATGTACATTTACTCTACATAGTTCTATGGTACCAAATCAAAAGTTTATATAAAGAAAGAAGTCAAAGGTTTCCCATCATAGTTTAGTTACATACATTTTTTTTGTACCTGAGGTCGTTGAATATTGATCATTATATAAATAAGGAGATGTGTTATGATTGCCAATGAAAAAACTAAGGATTTTCTTATCCAAAGAATAGATTTCCTTAGCCGTATTTGGCACAACTTTTTGGAATTTTGGGTCCTCAATGCTCTTCAATTGTTTGGCTTTGTTACTATTTTGATCTGAACGTCACTGATGAGTCTTACGTAGACGAAACACACGTCTGGCGTATTAAATTATAATCCTGGTACCTTTGATAACTAATTTGACTATAAACATAGATAAAAAAGGTACAAACTGGACATAATGCACTAGTTTATAAACAAGTGAGAACAATCGCCTTCATATAGTGCTCAGAATATGACATTCATAAAACTTATTCAATATCATTAGAGAACTCTAAATCTTAAATACTGAAAGCCACCTCTGATAAGTACACTGTACTATGCAAGATAATGATATAACTGGACTTAAAATACACACAACATGTAATTAACTGCCTTTACAGCGCTTTCGTGCTTTGATTATAATATGTGTTCATGAAGACCCATGACAGTTTTCAAATATTCAATATTAGCCGAAAATAAACATATTTTTCGAAGTTGGTTTTCTAGCTACAGCTTAGAAGCAGTAGACACAGTTTCAGTAAAAAGCAGTATAAAACAGGATGAGAAAATCAGTATATCATAGAATTCAACCAAGTGTATAATGACGTAAAAACTGTCATCAAGTGGTAATGTAAAAATAATGAGATGTGGTAGGACTGTTAATGAGACAACTATCCACCATATATAGTGTCTATCTAAGTTAATGTGAAATAAATTTTTGACTCTTCGGATCATTCGCTAAAAAATAAACAACTATAACTTCAAAGTTTAGGCAAATTATCTTCCACTGTATTGCATCACTTATGTTTTTTTTTCGCTAGGGTTTTATCATACAATTAAAAAAAATATCTCTCGGAGAGAAAATCCAAAAACCTTAAAGTAATTAAATTAAACATGTTGTTTTAAGTTCAAATGCTAAGATACTCACCAAAAATTTGTAAATTCAGAAGGATAAAAGGATATGAATAAGAATATAACTCGCTCGTTGAAGGAAAAAAAGTTCGAACAAAACCAAATAAATTTTGGAACGTTCTAATCGTACTCTTCTCAGGCAAACTAAAAGTTTATTATAATGGGTTGTCGGCCTTGAAATTCTCTTCCACAAACAGCATTTTTTTTTAAGTCAGAAGTTAACTGTCATTTATATAAAAAAATGTTTAAACAACAAATTCTGTTTATTTTGGGAAAATGAACTTGCCATTTATCAAGCTTCTTGTTTACTCACTCTTAATTGCAATGTCATGCATAAAAAAACACCGATGAGTGTCAAATAGTTTAATGTATGTATACCTCATGCACCGAAGCTCCTGTGATTCAGGTCTGTTCCCGTTGAAAAATTGTAAGTTAAATACAATGAATTTCAACATATCTACCTCAGGTTTCAACGGGGTCCTTTGACCTCATATAACACATAAATATAGAACGATTCCACAACACCTTTGATTGTGCAAATGTGATTGATACACTTAGAAATAGTTAATTTTAAAAGTTTAAAATTATATACTTATATACTTTATAAAATATATCTTATTAGCTTTACTCTGTCCTTAATAAATGGGAGACCATCGTAGAGGGAGCACAACAAGGGTCAATACTTGGGTCTGCCGGAGGTGGAATATAACTGTATAAATACGGATAAAAACAAAAATTGTTGGAGATAGTTGTAAGCCCGTAATTTATCATTTTTAGATCGTGGTAGTGTGCTCGTTTTGAATGCTGGAGGTCGTGGGTTCGATCCACAGCCAGGTCATACAAAAAATTTGAAAATTTATATATTTGCTACTTCTCTAAACACGCGTCTTTTAGGAGTCAGACCAATTAAAGACTCGGGTCCGTTCGGAGTCAGAAAACTGTCCTGGACTTTAAATGAACAATTCATTATCATTCTTTTATCCCATGTTGTGCTTTTCATTCTTATTAAATGTGTTCATGAAGACCCATGACAGTTTTAAAATATTCAATATTAGCCGAAAATTTTTCGAAGTTTGCTAGCTAGAAGCAGATACACACGGTTTCAGTATAAAGCAGCATACCAGGATGAGAAAATCAGTATAGCATAGAATTCAACCAAGTGTATAATGATGTAAACAAACTGACTTCAAGTGGTAATATAATAACAGAGACATATAATACAATATGTCTCTGATAATAACAATGATATGTGGTAGGACTGTCAATGAGACAAATATCCATCATAGTGTCTATTTTACGAACGGAGAG